TTCTTCCACTTGTTTGAATGATTATCCGTTTATCTTGATATTATTATTTTGGGTCACCTGCCTTGATGTAACCATATATTTTGTTTTGGTTTCATTAACTAATAAACAAATAATATGGCTAGCTATAAATAGTCTACTTTCCTTTTCTTCAATTTATTCCTGGGATGATATCAGAATGACGATGTCATCCAAATACGCCGAAAGTGTGTTTAACCCGATTATCTCCATCTCTTGTTCCTAACGGATGTCTTTAAACACTTTTTCAAGCGCCAAGTTAAAAAATATTGGTAATAATGCTTTTCTTAGTCCCCAAACCTTATTTCAAATGTTTTTTTTAGATGTTTGAGTAACGATTTCTTCTTCACTTGATGCACTATTATTTTTAACCTCTGTGTCTTTAGTATGGCAGAACACTATCAGAGTACAATATTGCAGGAACCCTTACGTTTTCGTGAGCTTTCTTCTATATTTCTTGTAGTGCTGAAAGCATTGTCTTGAATTTCAGCTTCAAAACTTGCTAATTCTGAATCTAATTTTCTAATTTGTTTATCCAAATGAAAGGTATATACAGCAGAGTAGGATAGTTCTATTAATTTGTTAACATCTAAAAATAAACATACCAATTCATAAGTTTCTATCTGCCGTTGAACTTTATCGTCACCATACTCTTTCGCTTTGTCAAATCCACGTTGTATGATGGTTAGAGTCATTCTTTTTTGCTACAGAGTATCTCTTGATATTTGATATATAATCGTGGCTAGTGTGTCAATGTTGGGCATCAGTTCTCGAACTCTCGAGTCGAGGTCTCGCATCAGAGTGAAGTTTCACTGTAATTTAACAGGAAGAATCGCCAAACCTAAAATATCACTCTGTTATATTTTGTTGATACGTTAAACCGAAAGAGAACTAAATGTCTTCTTTCGAATATCCCTGAATCCAACTTAAATATTGGCCCATATATTTTCCTCTCAAAACTCGAGTTTTTCTTCATCTCCATGTTTCACATGCATACGTTGCTATGGGGTGCAAATATATAATGTATAAAATGTTCAGCATGACCGAACCTTTGATGAGAACTAGATTCTATTCGCTTCGCACATTCTAAGCTTGATTTAGTTGTGCGTATTAATTTTTTCGTTAATATTTAATCATATTATGTTGGGTCAAAAAGAGAAGGGCCGACGGGTAAGTATCTCACTGTTCAAAACCTCAGAGCCGCTCAAAGAGCTTTACGCCAGACAGCGCAAAAAGAAGCGTTTTGGAAAGAAATAGCAGCATTACAACAACATAAAAATGTGTCTCACTGCAGTAAGTTGAGGTCCTTGAATCCGTTATTAAAAAACAAGTTATTAGATGAGATCTCCCATAGTTAAAAAGTAATCGTTCAATTTATTCGTAATTATGGATGCATTTGTTCTGTAGTTGTAGATTATATTATTTATTTTTAAATTTATTTCTAGTGAAATTTGCCACATTTTGGTGTGTTGCTTGTTTAATGATAGGCCAAATTTTTTTTGGATTAGAACTATACTAGTATTATTTTTTACTTATTCTCCGAAATAAGATTATTTTGCTTTAGCGATAATTTCAGTTAATTTATTTCTAAATTGTTTGTATTTATTCTTTAGATTAATATTAAATGGTTCTTGTTTATTTAGTTTATGCAATTTATCTCTTTTTTTAATTACGTTAACACGTTCACTGCGTACTGACGCCAATTGGCGTCATAAGTATCATTCAGCAACGCGTTTGACGCCAATGGCGTCTAATATACATTTAAAATAAATGGTTTAAAATTCCCTACGCGTGGCTGAATGTTATTTTATTATTATTTAGCGTGGATTAAACGCATGTTTTTAAATATGTATACATACATCGTTATGAGCAGTTTCTTTATATTTTTTTTTAATTTCTTTTGTTTTTACTTTTATCATACGCACTGGGGAAAACTGCAAAAAGACATACGCAGTCAACGTGTTAATTATACCTGGTTGAATCCATGGATTGTTTCTTTTTATTGATTAGTTTGTTCTTTTAGTAGTAGACTGTTTTATTAAATTTTGTAAGGACGCCGTTAATAAATTAATATTTAAATTAGAACTGTTACTATCTGTTATATAATGGTTGCAGTTTATATCTTTAATTTATTTATTCAATTTATTATAATTAACAGTGCTATAATAATTTGATTCTTTATTTATGTTGTTACTGTGTATGTGTGAATTAGTTTCTATAATTTGTGTAATTACTGGATAATGGTCGGTTATAAGTGAATCGAGTTTATATAGGTAACGTATGTCGTATATTGTAGACAGTCGTCAAAATATTATTTCATATATGTAATAGAGGTGGGAACATTTTAAATTGTAAACTATTGACATAGGTCAGTGAAGCATATGTGCTGAGACAGCGATAAGATTACTATATAACACCGCCGCACGCGCAGGCACGAGAGTCCCGTTGTCGCTGAGTGAATCGGCGAGGACGTAGGTACTGTGGTCGTACGTGTGAAACGTCGATCGTAGTACGGGCTAGGCAATCCGGATTTGCTAAGTGTTTAATTTATGTTTGTTTTAATATAATAAAAGTGTTTCCGACCTAAAAACCCGAGTTGAGTTTTATTTCAAAGTCTTCTTCGTTCTTAGATTTAATATTGGAACAGTGCTCAGACCCACACACCTATAGTCAATGAGGTTTATTACAAACTGAACAGTGCTCTGGTTGTGGCGTCCTAATAGTCATTCCAATTTAGGAAATGAACGAAGAACTGACAAAACGCTACCATCGTACCTCAAAGGTTAACAGTGCTAATCTGAATATATTCTAGAGACAGTCATTAGCCTAGAGCGTACGAGGGTAAGGTATAAAGTTGGTTTACCGCGTATTATCCAATACGGGTGATACCACAGAGTGGCGCCCAACGGGGTTACTTATCCACGGTTGGAGACATTTTTTGATTTTTGTGCCCTGGTACCTCAACCTTGGCAAGTTTAATTTTTTTTGAAAGTGTTTACGTACGAGAAGTACAAAAATTTTTACGTGTAGTCTGGGAGAGATTCCCTTGACACACCATTTTTTTATTTTTTTTTTGTACAAGTGAAGTACAACATTTGTGCACGTTTCGGATAGTAAAACCCGGAGCGAGTTTAGTGATTTTTTCCGTTAAAGTAAAATATACCTTTTGTGTTTTGGGTGCAGTGTAAACCCAGAACGCAATTTTTGTGCGTTTGTATACCGAGTGAGTAACACATACGCGTTCGATTTTTGTCTGACCGACAAGACAGCAGTTTTGTGCCGCGTGGTACAATTTTTGCAACCGTGCGTCTACAAGTATACGCCAAGGTGAGCAACGTTTTGTAATATACTTAATACTTATATTAGGATTATAGATTAGATTTTTCTTAAAACAATTTAAATAGAATTTTAGTTCAATAATTTTTCAAAATTTTTTTTTCGATTTTAAATAACCGCAAAATTTTAATTTAAGTTTTAAACAAGTAGATTAGGTTTTTTTAAAGAAACTATTTAAATAGGATATTTTTTTTTTAGTTCAATTTTTTCTCTCTATTTCTCTCTTTTGCTTTTCAAAATTTTTATTCGATATAATTATAACCGCAAAAATATTTTAATTTAAGTGATATACTAACGTATTAATATTAGGATTGTATATTAGATTTTTTTTAAATTTAAAAAGGATTTTTTTTTATTATTCAATAACATAGTATTATAATTAATCTAGTAGTATTTTTTTTTTTTTTTTGTCAAACTTCTTAATAATTTAAATTTGTAGGGATTTTACCAATAGTAAAAAGTAGGTTAATTGTAGATAAACATAATTAAAAACCGTTAAAATGTCCTAGTATAGATTTAGGATTATTTAAATTAATTTTTCAAATTTTATAAATTAATGAATCAACTTAAAGACCCTAAATCGGATCTTTCAATAACAATAAATACTGCAACAGAAATTTATACTCTCAAAAAACCATTTCTTATTAAATATTGCGAAAATAAAAAATTTAAATCAACAGGTACAACTAGTGAATTAAGAGCTAGACTTAGTAGATACTTAAAAGGCACCATAACATTAGACGACATAGATAACACATTAAGCAAAGAAGAATGCGATTTAATTTTAATCAAAGCAAAAACTAATAAAATCGATTTTAAAAAATTAGAAAAAGAAGCAGGAATACTCGATTCGAGCGATTCAAGCACTGACACAAATACAATTAATAAATTAACTTCAGACAGCTTTTCAGAAATATCAAAAGATAATTTAAAATTATACGATAATCTTAATGCCAGTACAAGCTCATTTGTGAATAACACCAAAAATATTCTAGAAAATTCAGATATAACTTACCAAAATTGTCAAAAAGAAAGTTCTGATACTTATGAAAATATATTAAAAAATCTTAAGATTAATGATACTTCTAATAATATTTATGAGGAATTAAAATTAAATACTCAACCAGAAAATAGTGAGATTACTGAAAATAAATTAATAAATCTTAATAATTCAACAACTATTGATTCTAATAACACAAGGGAAAAACCAAAATTCAAAAACGAAAATACAGCAATAAATAATCAAAAAGGAGATAACGTAAACTCTGAAATTCATTCTACTCCATTAAATAAACAAACACAGAAAATGACAGAAAAAATTCTAATGATTAGACCAGACCAGTTCTCAGGTAATGAGGACGTAAGAAAATATTTCAAGCAATACGAAAAAGCAGCAGATGTAAACGGTTGGAAGGACGAAGATAAAGTAAGATTTTTATCGATATTCGTAAAAGGTACAGCAAGTATATTTTTGGAAAATTTGGAAGACAAACAAAATAATTGGACATGGAATAATTTGAAACAGGAGTTTCTCGACGAATTTCAACCAATGGGTTACAATACAATTTTAAAAACTAGATTAGAAAATAGACGTCAAGGAGATACAGAGTCTATAATGAGTTTTGTAACAGAAATAGAAAATATATGTAGACAACTAAATAAAAATATGCAGGAAGAAGAAATTTGCACTTATATTTTAAAGGGATTAAAAGAGACAGTCTTACATGCGATTTCATTACACGACAATAGCAACCTAAAGGAACTAAAGAAAAATTTAAAAAAATTTGAATTGATGCAATTTCGAATTAATAACAGAGGACCAGAATTAAGTGATTATACAGAAATGCTTAATGAACATGTATCTCAACTAAACCAAAAAACAAAAGAAAAAGGAAGAGAAATCGATGAACTAAAAAGACAGTTTATAGAAAGAGATAGAGAATACAAAAAGGAGATGAACCAGTTACGGGAAAATATTCAACAAATCAACATTACAGGAAGAAGAAATAAATCGGTAAACTTCGATGATGAAGAAATAGATAATCGATATAATAATAAAAATTATAGTTATAATGAAGATAGGAGCAGAAGTTATAATAGAGAAACAAATTACCGAGGACGACAACGTGAATACAGAGACCAAAGTCCATATCCAGGAAGAACAGATCACGAAGGCAGGAACAATTATAGGGAAAAAGGTCCTTATTCCGATAGGTACAACAACTATAAGCTCAGAAAAAGCAGTAGTGATAGATACAATAACAATAAATATAGAAATAACAGTAGAGAAATGAGCAATAATAGAGATAGGTCTAACTCAAGAAATAGGGAAAACTCCTACGACAGATCCAGAGATAGA